TCTATCTGTCCATCCATCCATCCATCTACCTGCTCATCCATCCGTCCATCTGTCCATCTATCCAACTGTCCATCCATCCATCCATCCATCCATCCATCCATCCATCCATCCACCCACCTATCCATCTATCCACCTGTCCCTCCATCCACCTGTCCATCCATCCATCTATCTATGTGTCTATCCAGCCATCCATCTGTCCATCCGTCCATCCATCCACCTGTCCATCTGTCCATCCATTCACCTATCCATCCACCCATCCGTCCATCCATCCATCCGCCTGTCTATCCATCATCCATGTGTTCATCCATCCAACTGTCCATCCATTCATCCATCTGTCTGTCCATCCATCCATCTGTCCTTCCATCTATCCACCCATCCATCCATCCATCCGCCCATCCTTCATCCATCTATCCATCTCTCTATCCATCTATCATCCATCCATTCATCATACATCCATCCAACCAAAAAAAGGTGAGATGAATCAGTTCACTCCTCTGCTTCACACTCCCCCGTGGCTCCCCAGCTTGCTCAGAATGAAACCCCACCCCTCGTCACAGCCCCGGGTCCTGCAACCTCTGCCCCCTGGCCTCCGTCCTCTCATCTATCTCTGCTCCGGTCTCTCTGGAGACCGTGGTCTCTCCGAGCTTCTTCCACCTCTGCGCTTGTTCTTGTGTTTGGATCTTCGTCTGACTTCTCCTTCTCTTCCCCGGTCACTGTCTCAGTCAGGTTTTGCTGTGGAACAAACAACCCCACCATCTAGTGCATGAAAACAACGAACATTTTTTGTTTCCTGTGGTTCTGTGGGTTGGCTGGGGCTGAGCGGTGTCCTTGTCCACGTGGCGACGGGCTCCACGTCAGCTGGGGTGATAGGGACGGGTCCCGTGTCTCATCGTCAGGCAGGCTGGCCCGGCAGGTCGCAGGGTCCTGAGGGCAGCAAGGGAGGGAGCCCCGGAGCACAAGTGCCCTTTAGGCCTCTGCTTGTGTCACCTCTGCTGACCCAAACAAGTCACGTGGCCGAGAGCCCGGACGGGGGAGGGGCAACCTGTGGCCATTAGACAGTTGGCCAATGGCGTCCGGTCCCTCTCCTCAGAAGCAGCGCCCTGTCCTGCCAGAACCATTCCTCCACACACATGCACACGTGCAAACACGCCTGTGCACACACACGCTCCTCTGTGACCTCATCTGCACGAACGGTGACTCTGCGCCTCCGTTCTGCGCCTCGCTTTGCTACTTAGCGCCGTATCTCGAAGATAATTTCACACCAATACGTAAAACATTTCTCGTTTCTTTTTACAACCGCACACTCTTCCATCCCGAGTACCGTGATTTGTTTAGATTTTGTGAAAATACGGGACGCCCGGTTAAACGTAAAGTTGCAGTGAACACAGGTAATTTTCAGTGTAAGGATGTCCCGTGCGTGCCTGAGGGGAGACCGAGGGACTCAGGACTCGCGGAGGAGAGGAGGAGGGCCGGTGTCGGAACCAGCCTGGACGCAGGGCGTCCTGGGGCCGCTCGAGGGGCAGCTCGGGGGGCAGAGGGAATCAGCAGGCATTGGGACTGTCTCTGGGGGGCTGGAGCCCGCCGGTTCCCCAGCCCAGCCCAGCGGAGAAGGGTGGAGCATGCCCCCCACAGAGTAACTTGCACACACATCGGTGGCCCACGGCTGGTGGTCTGTGGGGTAGAGTCCTAAAAATGGAATTTCAAGGACACCGCATGCGTGCATTTATCATTTTTTAAAAATTGAACTAAATTCACATAACAAAATGAACCATGAATCATTTTCAAGTGTAGAATTCAGTGCCATTTAGTGCATTCACAAGGTCGTGCAACCATCAACACTATCTAATTCCAGAACATTCCATCACCCTGGTAGGAAACCCCGTCCCCATCAGCAGTCACGCCTATCCCCCTCCCCAGCCCCTGACAACCACGGACCCACTCTCTGTCTCCGCGGATTTGCCTGTTCTGGACGTTTCATCTAAATGGGATCGTAGGAGAGATGCTGTCACGTGGCCCTCCGTCCATGTGGCCCCCCGTCCACGTGGTCCCGTCACCCTCCCAGCGGCACGGACGCCGTGATGGAAGGACGCTCGTGGTCGTCGTCTGGTCCTCGCTCCCCCTCCTTGGCGGCGGCTGAAGCCACTGGGAGCTCTGCTGGCTGTTTCGCCTCCTCTGTCTCCCGGAGACTCTGAATTACTTTCCGTGGAAACGGTGGTCTAGGCCAGAGTCGGCGCACTTTTCCTTAAAGGGTCAGAGGGTCAATGCTCTGGGCTCCATGGGCCAGAGGGTCTCGTCCGTCTGCTTGTAGGCCCTCTGCTGGGCTCTGGGGATGCGGGAGTGAGCAAGGCCGCCACCATCCCACTCCTGGGCTCACGTTCTCGAGGAACAGAAACAGAGAGTCAACAGCAGACGGTTCAACCAACAGCCTGGAGGAAACAACCAGCTTCTGTGCAACAACTTACAGGCGGGGCAGGCGGCTCCGGGGAGGGGACGTGGTGCCTTGAGATGAGGAAGGAACCAGTCCACAAATAGTTGGGGGAAGGGACAGCAGGTGCAAAGGCCCTGGGGCAACAAGGCCAGCCGTCATCGAGGACGGAGGAAAGGGCTAGAACCCAGTGGGTGCAGGAGAGGAGAGTGGAGAGCTGGCTGGGGGATGGACCGGATTCGACCGCCGGTCCCCGGCTGGGCTCTCCTGGGCTGCGCGCGGGCCGCCTGCTCACGCCTGTCCTCTCTCCCCTCAGTACATGGGCTGCATCGAAGTCCTCCGCTCCATGCGCTCCCTGGACTTCAACACTCGCACCCAGGTCACCAGGTGAGCCTCTGCGGCCGGGCTGCTGGGGCCCTGGGGACGGGCAGCTGGGGCTCGGCTCGGCAGGCGGCAGCAGCATCTGGGAATGACACACGTCTCCCCTCGCAGGGTGTGCGGTTTCCACGGGGGTGTTGGGAGACGCCCTGGCACCTCGGGGGACGGGCGGGTGCTGGCTCGTTCCTGACGTGAGTCGGGTCAGGGCTGGGGGGCTGGGGGCCCGTCCAGGGCGGGAACCGCATCTCCGTCGCCCTTGATGTTTTCAATGCAGAGAAGGTACGCCGCTCTCCTGATGCTCTGAGCCGCCTGGAACGGAGTCACGGAGTCAGGAGACAAGCAGGGCTCAGGCAGGAGGGACCAGCATCTTTTCTCGCATATGGAAATGCATTAAAAAAACTCTATTGAGACATAATTCACATATCAAACAATTCACCCACTGAAAGTGCACAATTCAATGGTTTTTGGTATCTTCACAGAGTTATGCAAACACCTCTCTCTAGTTACAGAACATTCCATCACCCATAAAGGAAGCCCCGTCCCCATCAGCAGTCACTCCCACCCCTCCCCAAGCCCCTGACAACCACGCACCCACTTTCTGTCTGTGGATGTGCCTGTTCTGGACATTTCACATCAATGGACTCACACACCATGTGTCCTTCTGTGTCTGGTTCTCTCACTGAGCGTCGTGTGTTCAAGGTCCATCCGCGGTGTGGCTGTGTCAGGGCCTCACTCTTCTTCATGGCTGAGTAATAGTCCATCTTGTGGGTGGACACGTGTGGATCCATCATCAGTTGATGGACATTTGGGTGTTTCCACCTTTTGACAGTTACTGTGAATCGTGCTGCCGTGAACACGCGTGTGCAGGTTTTGTGTGGATGTGTGTTTTCATTTTTCTTGGGTGTGTGCTGGCAGTGGACGGCTGGGCTGTGTGGTGACTCTGTTAACCTTTCGAGGACCTGCTGGGCCCTTTCCACAGCGGCTGCACCATTTTACCTTCCCGCCCGCCGGGTGTGAGTGTCTAGTTTCTCCTTTTGGCACCAGCATCTTTGAGAGCCTGTTGTTTGACCTTCTGACCTTCAGGATCCTGTAACAGTCCTGGCCGCTCCCGGGGGATTAGCAGTTCTGCAGGGGTGTCTCCCATGCTCTCTGGGGGTCATTTCCTGCCGCCGTCTGGGGGAGCTCAGAGCAGAGGTCGACCTCTCCTGCCACCAATGGGAATCTTGACCGGCCTATGGCCACACAGAACTTGGGGTCCAGACTCAGGGGGAGAGGGCTGAGGGTGGGGTACCCGCCGGATGCAAACGGGGTGGGGGCCGGGTGCCCGAGGAGCCCCATTCATGCCTCCCCCTCTCTCCAGGCAGCCCAGCATCCCTCCCTCCCTCATCCCCTCCCTCCTCTGAGCTCCCACCCCCCAGCCCCCTCCCCTCCGAGCTCTCTAAGCCCCTCCGCCCTCCCCCCACAGGGAAGCCATCAACAGGCTCCACGAGGTGGTGCCCGGCGTCCGGGGCTCCTGGAAGAAGAAGGTGGGTGAGGGGCTCGTGGTCCCCGCGTGGGGCTGGTGGGCGCGGCTGGAGCCTGTGGGGGGGCGCTCTGGCCGTCCTCAGACCCTGCCCCGGGCTGAGCCCCTCTGCAGCCCCACCCAGCAGGCCCCCACTGCCCTCTGCCCGCCCCCCCAGGCCCCCAACAAGGCGCTGGCCTCCATCCTGGGCAAGAGCAACCTTCGCTTCGCCGGCATGAGCATCGCCGTCAGCATCTCCATCGACGGGCTCAACCTCTCGGTGCCTGCCACGCGCCAGGTGAGTGCTGCCCCAGCTCCCCAGACCCCTTGCAGGGCAGCGTCTGTGAGGCCTGGAGGGACGGTGGGCGCAGGGCTGCCTGTGACCTGTGGGTACTGGTATGAACGTGTTCACCTGGAGACCTGCTGGGGCCCCGCCTGGAGCCAGCAGAGGACGGATGCAGCCCCACAGCTGTCATGACTGGGGGGCTCCTGGCATCGAGTGGGGGGGCCCTGCTCAGCACCCCACAGTGCCCAGGACGGCCCCCCACAGAGAATGACCCGGCCCCGATGTCAGCAGTGCCGAGGGGGAGAGACCCTGGCTTGGAATCTTCTGGTGGAAACAAGCAATCAAAATATAATTGCGGAAATGAGGGAATGATTACAAATTCTGAGAAGCATTGTGAGGCCAGGCAGGGGTTGTTGTGAGCATGCGCAGGGCACTGTGACCTAGCAGGGGCGTCATGGAGGGCTTCCTGGAGGCGGTGATGCTGGCGCTGAGTGAGGAGGCGAGGAGAGGGTGTCCCTGGCAGAGGTCAGCTTTTGGGAGGACGGAGCTGGAGAGGTTAGTGAGGATCACGGTGAGGAGCTGGGATTTGTCCAGAGGGCACTGCGATCTTGGGGAGTTCGAGGCAGGGAAGTGCTGTGATGTGTGGTCTGGTATGAGCTTGGCTGCTGGGGCGCACACAGGAGGGGAGCTGAAAAAGCCAGGGCCCTGGGGAGGAGGGCGTGGACCGGCCCTGGGGAAGAAGCTGTGTGTGGGGCAGCTGCCAGCACGGTCAGCCCCTCCCCATCTCCACAGTGACTCTGCCTGCAGACCAGGACACAGGGGCTGAGAGGGGAGTGACGTGCCCACCGGCTGGGTCCTCCGTGGGGTGGGGTCCGGCAAGGGGGGAGCCCTGAGGATCCCTGTGGGCGAGACCGGCTGGGTGATCTGTGGGGGACCCAGGGAGGTGCCTGGTGCTTTGACTCAGCCCTGCCTGGCCCCATCGCTGCTGGTCACTGGGTCGTGGAGGGATGTGAGCACTCAGGAATGCGATGAGCGGCAGCCATTGGATGCAAATGAGTATGCAAACGAGGGAATGGATGTAAGTGAGCATGCAAATTAGCACGCAAATGAGCACATGGATGTAAGTGAGCATGCAAATGAGGGAATGGCTGTGAGTGACTATGCAAATGAGTATACAAATAAGCACATAGATGCAGTGAACAGGCAAATGTGGGAATGGAAGAGATTATGCAAGTGAGTATGCAAATGAGCACATGGATGTGAGCATGCAAATGAGGGAATGGATGAGTATGCAAATGAGTGCATGGGTGTAGTGAACAGGCAAATGAGGGAATGGATGTGAGCATGCAAATGAGCATGCAAATGAGTGCATGGATGTAGGTGAGCATGCAAATGAGCATGCAGGTGATGCTGATGGGGTGATAGCGCAGAGTCAGGAGCCTGCAGTGGGTCCTGCTCGTGTCCCCTCAGCACCTCCAGGGCTGCATAAGGTGTGTGTGTGTGTGAGTGTGTGTGAGTGTGCGAGTGCCAGCCTGGGCATCTGTGTGGGAGGCTGTGAGGGCGAGTCTGTGATGTGTCGGGGTGTGAAGGTGGGCTTGAGTGCGTCTGAGTGGTTGTGTCTGGACATGATGACGTTCGAGCATCTGTGTGTGGGAGAGTGTGTGCCGGCAAATGAAGTGTGTCTGTGAGTGTGCGCATGGTGTGGTTTGTGTGAGGATTGTGTGTGTGTCTCCGTGTGTTAGTGTGTGTCTATGCGTCTCCGTGTCAGAGGTACGTCTGTGTGTCCGTGTGTATCTGTGTGTGTCCGTGTATATCTGTGTGTTGGGACGTGTACGCGTGTCCGTGTCTGGGCTCCGCTGTGTGAACGTGAGAGGGTGTCCGCCAGTGAGGGGCAGGTGTGTCCGTTCACATATGTGGCTGTGTGGCTGTGGCCCCTGCATCCCGCCCTGGCTGGGGGGCTCCTGTCCCGCTGGAGTCTCGGTCATCTCTGCCCAGTCAAGGGGGCGTCTTCATTCCCACACCCCTGCCTTTCCCGGTCCCCTCCCGTGGCCCCGGTCCAGTGACTCACCTGAGCCCCAGGGCCCCCGACCCTGGAACCACGGCCCCCGTGACTGCGTGTGTCTCTCTCCGGCCAGATCATCGCCAACCACCACATGCAGTCCATCTCCTTCGCGTCGGGCGGCGACACGGTAAGGCCCCGGACGGGGGAGGTGGACTTCTGGCCTCTCTGTCCCCTGCAGCCTGGAGACCCTCCGCCCAGACCCTCGCTGGAGGCGGGCGGCCGGGCATCCTGGCTGGGGTGGTCCAGGCAGGTCCAGCTGACCCTCCCACCCATTATCCCCTGTGTCCGCAGGACATGACGGACTATGTGGCCTACGTCGCTAAGGACCCCATCAACCAGAGAGGTGAGGCCCAGTGGGGTCGGGTGGGGCCCTGTAGGCCGAGGTTTGTCAGCCGGCTGAGGCCACGCTGCCGCCTTGTCACAAAACCACCGTCCGCAGCCTGCCACATCCTGGAGTGCTGCGAGGGCCTCGCCCAGAGCGTCATCAGCACCGTGGGCCAAGCCTTCGAGCTGCGCTTCAAGCAGTATGTGCACAGCCCGCCCAAGGTGGCCGTCCCCCCGGAAAGGTACCAGGCCCGCCTCCTCCCGTCCCCGTGGACCCCGGTCGGGGCAGCTCCCAGCTCTCCCCTCCTCCCCCTGGCCTGTCCCTCCTCCTGCTGGGCTCCCCCGTGGGAACACGGCTCAGCCACCGGGACCCCCCGTCCTCGTCTGTAAAACCGGGATCAGAACAGCCCCCTCCCCGGCTGAGACAGGGATTCAGGGAGCGGCTGCCGTCATTACCGCCGTCCTCAGTCGGACGGGGGCGGCCGACACCTCCGCACAGGGCCAGCGGGTCAGTGTTCTTGGCTCTGCGGGCCAGACCACCTGTCTCAGCCATCGTAGTGAGAAGGCAGCTGGGGAGACACGTCACAGGATGGACTGGCCGTCTGCCAGCAAAACTTTATTTATAGACACGAAAACTTGAATTTCACGTAACTTGCACGTGTCGCCAAACATTGCTCTTTGATGTTTTCTTAACCGTTTGAAAGTGTAAAAGCCGTTCTTAGCTCCCGGGCTGCACGGATACAGGCGGCGGCCGGATTCGCCGACCCCCTCGTCGCCAACTTAAAGATCTTAATAGACGTTCGTTAGAACAGATGACAAGTAAATGAGTTTCGAGAAACTCAAATATGCACGTGATAAGAGACAGGAGCGGTGGGCACAAGTACACACCCCCACGTGGGCCTCCTCCCCACCACCCTCCCCACTGGCACGCCTCCACGGTGTCGCACATGGGTTGGCACGCCTGTGTGCATCACACACGCGCTGGCTTTCCCCTCCCGTAGCTGGGCACCTGGAGCTGCCCCGTCCTCTCGGGCTGCACGGCCCCCCTCCGGTGCCGCATGTAACCTGCTGTCCCTCCCGACTGGGGGGCACACGGGACTCCCCGTGTTGCTCTGAGGAACCACGCCCGCCTGATTGAGCTCCCATGGGATCGATTTCCACGGGGCCAGAGGGCGAGGGCATTTTCAATGCCGAGGGTGTTGCCACCTAACCCGGCTCTGGTGCAAGGCTGGGGTTGCGCCCCGGCTGCCTGGCCGGCCGGAGGTGGGCGGGAAGGAGTGGGGACCGCTCGTCTGAGGACATGCCGTAGTTTAGCCCAGCTCGTGGTTGGGGGGTCAGAGACCCTGGGGCCTGGCTCGTCCCACCCGCCGGGAAGCTCAGACGCCAGGCCTTGGTGGCCCCGGGAGCCCCGTTCTTTCTGCCCCCGCGCTGGGCCCGGCCTGGGCTCCTGCCTGCTGTCTGTCCCCAGGCTGACTGGGCCGGAGGAGTCGGCCTGGGGGGACGAGGAGGAGACGGAGCACAATTACTACAACAGCATCCCTGGGAAGGAGCCGCCCCTGGGCGGGCTGGTGGACTCCAGGCTCGCCCTGACGCAGCCCTGCGCCCTCGGGGCCGTCGGCCAGGTCAGCCTCTGCGGACTCGGGGGAACAACGGCCAGGAGGGTCCCTCACGCCCCACCCGTCCCTCTCCCCTTCCCCAAGCTGCACAGAGCCACTCGGCCTTAGACACTTCAGACGTGACTCCTGCCCTCAGACATTGTGTAAAAATCACACCAGCGATTTAACGAGGGCCGTGAAAGGGCTTCCGAGGAAGGTTACCCGAACGTTCAACTAGAGACTGACTTTGTCTGTGGTTGGGAGGCCTCCCCGGAGGAAGCAACGTTGGGCTGGGCCCTGACGGGTGAATAGGAGTTCCTCAGGCGAGCAGTGCAGGGAAGGGTGTCTGGGTGGAGGGAACAGCATGTGCCAGGCGGCAGGAGGGTGCAGACCGCCTTCCAGAGGGAGAGGGCAGATGAGGAGCAGGGGGGTGGGGCCGTGGGCAGTTTGAGAGTTGAGGGGGCGGGGGAAGAGTTTAGGTGGCTCAGAGCCGAGCTTCCCCTCTGACTGACGTCTCCAGCCATTTAGGAGGGTCGGGGCGGGGAGATCAGGGGCACTCGGCTCAAAATTGGGGTTCGCGCATCGCAGGAGGACCCCTCGCTCTCTTTTTCAGGGAGCATCTCCTGCTCGAAGAGACGCCTGTGGCCTGCAGTGGGACCTGGGCCCCTCAGGTACAGGTAGGATGCCCTCGGGGCCACGGGGGCGCCCCAGCTGCTCCCGCCGGAGGCCTGGGTCCCCCACTGCCTCCCCCTCACGGTTCCGGGACTGTGTTCACTCCCAAGCTCTTACGAGGTTGGCCTGCCTCAGTTTCTATTTTTTTCTGTACAGACGAGTTTCATTGCATTTTGGGGGCAGATCCTGCGTTCACATGGTTCAAACACACACCAAAAAGCACTCCCTGAAAAGTCACTCTCTCGTCCCTGCCCCAACCTGCTTTAGCCACCTCCCTGTCGGGTCAGTAGTTAGGAGGGTCCATTATTTTTCCAGAATTTTCCATGTATAGTCAAGCCAATTCAGGTTATATCACTGTCTGCGTTTTTACAGATGGGGGTTCCCGTATACGTGCCCGCCTTGCTTTCTTTGCCCCAGGAGCTCTTTCCATATCAGTGCCCGCCAGACACCCTCCCTCTTTTTCATCACTGCATAATACTCCATCACACGAGGGACCGTCTTTTATTCTGCCCTCCCCGCACTCACAGACACCGGGCAGTTCCCAGGCGTTTGCTGTGACGGCAGGGGTGCGACGCTTGTCATTCAGCCGTGGTCAAGGATTTCAACAGGGTCCATCCCCAGGAGGGCGGCTGCTCCGGCCATTTTGACAGAAATCACAAAATCACCCTCTTGATTTAGATTCACACCTGCTGCTGCGAGCTTTTATTTTAAGAAAATGATTAAGTTTTCAGCCCACGAGCATTTCATCCTGTTAAACAAAATTAAAAATGACAGAGAAGGCTCGAATGGCCTTGGCCCCAGCTCCCAGGCTGGGAGCTCACCCCCCAGCACCTCTGCGTCTGCTTTCAGACTTTATAGGGAGAGGCCCCCAAAGGAACGACGACCCTCGGGCCTGCCGCGGGCACCCTCGGTCACTCCAGGGTCCTTGCCACGTCCGTGCGGTCTTTTGAACAGCTGCGTGCTGCTCCCCGGCCCCCTCTCCATGGGCATTAGTCTCTTTCAGCTCCCCATTTAGACACACAGCGGCCGACGTCCCTTAGGCCCACCCGTGTGTTCCTCCCGCGTATGCTGAGCTGTGGCACTGCTGGTACCGGGGTGCAGACCTCAGTCACGTTCCTGGAGGCTGCCAGACGGCTCGCCGACATGGCCGTGCCAGCTGGTTCGCCCACCAGCTCTGCCGTGTACTCACAGCCTTGCTCACATCTGTGGGGGCCTTTTTTTAGATCTTCCCAAATAATCTGGGCATTTTACTGCCAACCATCAGAACCGCCACTGGCTCCTAGAGCCTGTGCTTAAAGAACACTCGTGTCGTCGGGCGCCCACCCACCAGGCGCCAAGCTGTAATCAGGCCCTGGTCTACTGTTTCTCGGGGACTAGGGCTGCTCACCCCTGACTGCCAGCCTTTCACCAGCATTTCCTACCCCTGAACCTCTGCACATGCTGTGATTGCTTGTCATGCCTTTCTCAGTTCTCTGGCCAAGAACTCCTACCAATACGTCAATGCCCCAGCTCCAATGTCCAGGAATCTCTCTCACTCTGGATTCCTGCAACCTGGGTTTCTTCCCTCTCACCCAGACCTGACCGTAAGAGGCTGGGAAAATCTGAGCCTCCTTTGGGCAGACTAGGAAGCCTCTGCCCCCATCACCACCCAGGGCTGGCACAGCGTGAGCAGTTGTATTGAATCATAGCTTTTGCCAGACACTGTTCTGAGGTTTTAATTCTCACCTCTGCTTATGAAGAAGACCCTCCTGTTCTCCCCGTCTGACGGAGGAGGAGACCGAGGCGCAGAGGTTACTAACTTGCCCACGCCCACCTCGGGCGGAGCTGGTACGAAAGCTCAGGTGTCCAGGAGGATTAACCATATAATTGGCCTAAAATAGAGACTGCAAACTACAGGCCCTCGGGCTGCATCTGGCTACGTGGGGTATTAAGAGATTGTCATTTCCCTGCCAAGGATTAAAAATGGAGACGTTTAGAAATGAATAGATAGTTCTGAGAAGACAGAGGCATGCCCTTCGAATCTGGGAGAAGATGCCCCACCTTACTCAAAATTAGAGAAATGGGAGTTACGGTCCCCCAGGATGCCATTTGTGCCCTGCTAGGTCAGCAAAAACCAAGAAGTCTGATAACACACTGGGGGGAGGCCAGGGGCCCCGGGCAGGGCCCAGCAAAGCCAGGTGAGTGAGTGGACCCAGCCAGGACGTCCTCCAAGGATACCTTTCAATGTGGCTTTTGAACCATGTAAATGCTTTACACATTCAGAACGAGATTCAAAAGAGAAAAGAAAGCGAATCCTAAAATAGAACGCAAACAAGCGGATGACCTATGCATCGTGTTGATAACGTAATTACAGGGAGAGCAGAGTTTATTGTTATTATCTTTTAAATGTGGAGATTGAACATAAATATCGGATTTCTGGCTTCTTTGGAAGCTGGGCCGCCTTCCTGCCTGGGTGGGTGGCCGCCCCCTCCCTGGGCGTGGACCTCGGTGCCCCCCAGCCCCTGGGTGGGCATTTATGGGGTTTTTCACTCCCATAAATGGTGCGGCACAAAAAGGCATGTGGCTTCCTTCCTGGAGGGAGACAGATGCGCGGGGGAGGGGGCTCCCAGGGGGGGTCTTGCCTGCTCCCACCTGACCCTCCACCCCTCCTGCCCTCCCAGCCCCGCCCGGAGACGGCTACGTGCAAGCAGACGCCCGGGGCCCCCAAGACTACGAGGACCACCTGTACGTCAACACACAGGGTCTGGACGCCCCGGAGCCCCTGCAGCCCGAGGACAGCCCCAAGAAGGACTTGTTCGACATGCGTATGTGGGGGCAAGCCAGCCCGGGGCGGGGGGAGGCCACAACTGTGCCACCTGTGGTCCAGGGGGACAGCCCAGCTTTCTCCCCTGGGGACTTTCTGAGTGGGCGGGGGTGGGGACGTCTGTTTCCTATGGGACTCCCTAGTCTGATGGGGTGGCTCACCCCATCAGGGTGTCTTTTGAGGGTAACCCAGCTTCCTCTCCAGGGGAGTCCCCAGTCTGACAGGAGAGGCCTAGTTCATACCTTGAAAGAGTGGGCGGTGTGATGGGGGAGGCCTTCCCTGATCCCTGCCTTTGGGTCTCCCCAGTCTGGTGAGGGCATTGAAGCTTCCTCCTCCTGTGACTCCCTGGTCTGAGGGAGGAGGCTCCAACCTCTTCTGTGGGAATCCCAGCCTAAGAGGGGGGCACCATCTGCTCTCTGGGGGACCCCCAGACTGATGAGGGAGGCCGAATCCACATGTTGATGGAGCCCCTTCCTTCCCGCCCTGGGGGAAGCCCCAGCCTGGGGACCACTGGTCAGAAGGAGAAGGCTTGTGTCCAAATGTTCTCATCTCCCACCACATCGGTTCCGCCCTCTCCCACGGGCACTGTGGGGCCCGGGCGGGGGCGTCGCCCTCCCTCGGGACGCCTCCCTAGTTGGAGAGCCCCCAGAACCTCCCAGCCAGCTGCACGTCGCTTCCTTCACAAAGTCTGCAAAGCCCCCTCCCCTGCCACCTGACAGCTGGATTTCTTGTCACAGCGATAAGGACACGAGCTGGTATCTACTGAGCGCCTACTGTGCGCCGGGCACTGGGCGAGGAGCCCGGCCCCACGACCCACAGTTCTCAGGTGGGAGCGGAGGGGCTCCAGGTGCGGGCACCTTCAGAGACAGGATGTCCCCCTGGGCACCAGTCGGCCCAGCCACCCGGGTGAAGAAGCAGACGCTCCCTGCAGGCTCCCTTAAATAGCCTGGGGTTGCCTCTGATTCGCCCACTCTGGGTCATGTACTCACCCCCCAGCCAATCACCGGCCAGGAGGGTGAGCTTAATATGCTGATTGGCCAGGCTCGGTCACGTGTCCTGGGCGCTGGAGGCTGGCTGGGCCTCACCCCGGCCACTGGAGGAGTCAGGGAGGAGGGGTCCCGAGGGACCAGAAGTGGGGACCAAAGCATAGATGCACCGGAGGAGGGGTCAGGGCTGAGCTGTGCCACCCCACATCCCCACTTTACAACCAGGGCACTGAGGCTCAGAGGGGGCCAGTGGCTTGTCCAGTGTCACACTGGTGCCTGTTGGGGGCCTTAGCAAACCTCTGCAAACCAGCAGAAGCTTTTCTGTGAAAGTCTGGGGAAGGAGGGGGTGCCTGCTGCCCCGCGCCCCCGAGATGGAGTGTTGTATGGGAGGTGTGGCCAGTGTGGTCAGACAGGATAACGGAACACCAGGCACAAACAGTGGGCAGGACGCCAATGTAACAAGACACGAAAAAGAAATACTGTCCACATTGGGGAGAGAGAAATGCTGCCGTTCTCTGCACACACAGTGCTTGGAAACCCAGCAGAGAACGGTCAATAAGGGACAGAGCCAATGAGGCTGGGAAGACGTGACCGGGTACAAGGTTGGTACCACACAGTGCACACACAGCACACACACAGCACACAGGACGTACACCCAGCACACACACAGTATATATCCAGCTCACACCCAGTGCACACACCACACACTGAGTTCACACACACCACTCAGTGCACACACAGCAACTCAGCACACTCAGTGCACACATAGTGCACTTAGTGCACACTCAGAGCACACACAGCACATTCAGAGCACGCACAGCACACTCAGCGCACAGGACACTCAGCCCACACTCAGCGCATACTCAACGCACACACAGCACACTCAGCACACACACTACACTTAGTGCACACACAGCAACTCAGCCCACACTCAGTGCACACACTGCACAGTGCACACACCACACACTCAGCCTACACTCAGCGCACACACAGCACACTCAGCACACACACTGCACACTCAGAGCACACATAGCACACTCGGTGCACACACCACACACTCAGCCCACACACAGCACCACTCAGCACACTCAGTGCACACTCAGCCCACACACTGCACACAGCACACACACAGCACACTCAGCCCACACTCAGCGCACTCAGCGCACACTCAGCGCACACACTGCACACTCAGCCCACGCTCAGCGCACACACAGCACACTCAGTGCACACTCAGCCCACACTCAATGCACACACAGCACACTCAGTGCACACTGCACACTCAGCACACACAGCACACTTGGCGCACAGCCAAGGACGCACTGGGGCGGGCTCTCTGCAAGGTCTGCTGCACAGCGGGTGGTCCGTCAGTGCTGCCCAGTCCCCCAGGGGAGGTTTTTCCTCCCAGCCCAGCCCCCCCTTCCCAGCAGGAGGCAGCTGCCCGCCCCTGACTCCCACCGCGTCCTCCCCGCAGGACCCTTTGAGGACGCCCTGAAGCTGCACGAGTGCTCCGTGGCGGCGGGCGCGGCGGCAGCCCCCCTCCCCGTGGAGGACCAGTGGCCCAGCCCCCCGACCCGCCGGGCGCCCATCGCCCCCACGGAGGAGCAGCTGCGGCAGGAGCCCTGGTACCACGGCCAGATGAGCCGGCGGGCGGCCGAGAAGCTGCTTCGAGCCGACGGGGACTTCCTCGTGCGCGACAGCGTCACCAACCCTGGGCAGTACGTCCTCACCGGCATGCACGCGGGGCAGCCCAAGCACCTGCTGCTGGTGGACCCCGAGGGCGTGGTAAGGTGGGCGCGGGGGCGGTGGATGGTGCCGGGAGGGGGCAGGGCTG